TGGAGCACCCACAACTTCTGGAGGTAAAACATCTGGAGACAAAAACTCCACGTTGGGGTGAGAGACACAACACGCCACCTTGTAGCCCTGATGTGAAGCATCTGTCAGGATCCGTTTTGTTCCTCCGCCTTAATTGCCATTTTGCTCAGATTCAGATCCAGTCCTCGCTTACTCACCGCAGCCGAGACCAGCAACTCTGGTGTTCAGCGATACAGTCACTAAATGAAGTGTGACACAACTGTGCAGACTTATGACATGCATTTTTGGCTGCGTCGTTAAGCAAATTAACTATGGGCCATTACTCATGACATCACGTGACTGTCTTCCGACTTCCTGCCGGCTTCCCCATTGACTTTGCTTGTTGGAAGCCAGCGGCGAAGGTCACAAACGGTCGCATGTGTGCAGGATGCAGTGACTGCCGTGTGCCAGTTGCCAAGCATCAAAATCGCCATCCCCTGACCACGGAGAGACTGCAATGGGTCACAATTTTGAGGACCAGCCCCAGGTTTCATTTTTGAGCGCTGTCGTAACTTCAAATGGTTGCTGAATGAGGTTGATAAACGAGGACTATCTGTAGGACGAAGTCTCAGTCAATCAGAATAGAGTTGGACGGGACCTTGGAGGTCTTCTAGTCCAACCCAGAAGACAGGCTTAAGATACAGAAGGATCTGGACAGACTTGAACACTGGGCACTATCTAACAAAATGAAATTCAATGGTGAAAAAAGTAAGGTTCTACATTTAGGCAAGAAAAACCAAATGCACAAGTACAGCATAGGTGGCACCTTGCTCAATAGTAGTAACTGTGAGAGGGACCTCGGAGTCGTAGCGGACAATCACCTAAATATGAGCCAGCCGTGTGCTGCAGCTGCCAAAAAGGCCAACACAGTGCTGGGCTGCATTAACAGAGGGAGAGAATCAAGATCATGTGAAGTATTAATACCACTTTACAATGCCTTGGTAAGGCCACACTTGGAATCCTGCATCCAGTTTGGGTCACCACGATGTAAAAAAGATGCTGAGACTTTAGAAAGAGTACAGAGAAGAGCAACAAAGATGATTAGGGGACTGGAGGCTAAAGCATATAAGGAACGGCTGCTGGAATTGGGTATGTCTAGTTTAAAGAAGAGAAGGACAAGGGGGGACAGGATAGCAGTCTTCCAATATCTCAAGGGTTGCCATAAAGAAGAGGGAGTCAAGCTACTCTCCAAAGCGCCTGAAGGCAGGGCAAGGAGCAACGGATGGAAACTAACCAAGGAGAGAAGCAACCTAGAACTAAGGAGAAACTTCCTGACAGTGAGAACAATTAACCAGTGGAACTACCTGCCTCCAGAAGCGGTGAATGCTCCAACACTGGAGGTTTTTAAGAAGAGACTGGACAGCCATTTGTCCGAAATGGTGTAGGGTTTCCTGCCTGAGCAGGGGGTTGGACTAGGTCCCTTCCAACTTTACTATTATTATTATTATTATTATTATTATTATTATTATTATTATTATTATTATTATTATTAACCCCCTGCTCAAGCAGGAGACCCTGGACCATTTCAGACAAACGGCTGTCCAGTCTCTTCTTAAAAGGCTCCAGTATTGGAGCACCCACAACTTCTGGTGGCAAGCCGTTCCACTGGTTAATTGTTCCCACTGTCAGGAAGTTTCTCCTTAGTTCTAGGTTGGTTTTCTCCTTAAGTTTTCATCCGTTATTTCTTCTTTTGCCTTCTGGAGCTTTGGAAAATAAATTGACATACACACACACACACCCTTCTTTGTGGCAGCTCCTTAAATACTGGAGGACTGCTATCATGTCTCCCATAGTCCTTCTTTTCACTAGACTAGACAATTCCCAATTTGTGAAACCTTTGTTTGTTTGGGATCCCAGCCCCCCTAATCATGTTTGTTGCTCTTCTCTGTACTCTTTCCAGAGTCTCAACATCTGTTTTGTAATACTGAATGAAGTATTCGAGGTGTGGACATACTAGGGCTTTACAAAGCAGGACTAAGACTTCGCGTGATCTCGATTCTATGACTCTGTTTATGCAACCCAGGGTTGTGTTAGCTTTTTTGGCGGCTGCTACACACGGCTGGCTCACGGTCAAGGGATCGTCCACCAGGACTCCAAGGTCCCTCTCACAGTTGCTGTTTTTAAGCCAGGTCCCGCCCAATCTGTACTTAAATCTTTGATTTTTCCTGCCTAAATGTAAAACTTTGCTTTTCTCCCCATTGAAACTCATTTTGTCGGATAGGGCCCCTTGTTCAAGCTTGTCAAGATCTTTTTGGATCCTGAGTTTTCCTTCTGGGGTGTTGGCTACTCCTGCCAGTTCGGTGTCATCTGCAGATTTGATGCATTTCCCTTCCATTCCCTCATCTAAGTCATCCGTGAACATATTGCTCTGACTACAAAGCCCATCTGCTCAATCTCCCTTTCTGGGTTGGACTTTCTGCAACTTTGACATTCTTGTTGGTGCCCCCCTCGGTTGATGTGCAGCCTAGGGGCCTAAGACGGCGCCTTGGGGTACCCCACGGCTTCCTTCCCAGCCTTTGTCCTTGCCAAAAATAAAATAAAATAAATAATTCTATCTGCGCATGCCCAAGATGGTGGATCGGCAGCGGATCGCTCCGTAGCTTACGGACCCGGCAAGTGGGTATGGGGTGTTTTGGGGGTGCCTCGGGGGGGCTTGCGGCGATGAGCGGGTGGGCGAACCCCCGCTCGGACCCGTTTTAGCCCACCCGGCCCGTTTTAGGCCCGCCCTGACCCGTCTCGGCTCCTCTTCAGCCTGGGCCCGTTTCCAGCTCGGGCCCAGCTTGGACGACTGCAGCCGGAAGGACGCGGCCTGTTCGATTGCGGCTGGGACGCGGCCTGTTCGATTGCGGCCTGTTCGATTGTGGCTGGGAGGACCCGGCCGCAAAGCTGGGAGGACTCGGGCGGCGTGGAAGGACTTGGGCGGCCGGGAAGAACTCGGGCGGCATGGAAAATTCTGGCCGGGACGATTTCGGGCGGCCTGGAATGACTTGGGCGGCCGGGAAGAACTCCGGCCAGGAAGATCTCGGGCGGCCTGGTGGTGGAGGCCTGGTCTTGACTGTGTTATTCGGCTCCCCGGCCGGGCGCGGGCCTGTTCCGGTTGGTCGGGCGGCCTGGCGTTCGGCTTATTTTCGGCCCGTTTTTGTGGCTTGGAAGGACCCGGGCGGCCTGGAAGAACTTTGGC